ATATAATAGGACTCTGGAAAGTCAAATAGATCCAGAGCAACAATTAGAAATTTCACAAAGAAAGCGTGCCAATTTAGTGCCTGCTGAAACTTTATATGAAGACGGATGGTCTTCAACGAGGCATAGAGTGTATCAACATTATTCTGAGGAAAGAATACTTGCTGTTGAAAATATTCAAATAAACCTGCCGTTCATAAGGCAAGAATCATATCAGAAATTAATCCAAGAAGGCATGCAACATATTCATCTTGGATTAATAATGATTCGAATTCATACTCTGCATAGACGAGATGCAGGTACAACTGCTTTAATTGTGCTCAGGGATACTAGATGGAGATCCGATGTTTCAATCATTGGAACAATAGAAGTTGATCTGTCTAAAGGTACACAGCTCGTATACATAACTCCTGATATGTTACTATCAATACATGATTTTCTTAATCATATAGAGCTTGTCGTGTTAACTCATGGGTATGATGACTGGCAAGGAGGAGAGTCTAATCTTCTCATAACCAGGGCTCTAGTAGCAAGACTTACAAATACCAGTCATGCTGGTTTTCGTTACAATGTTAATGGGATTGCAGATTATTTGGCAACTCATGGAGTTATTGCAATACCGGGACAAAAACATTCTATACTTCAATTAAAAGGTTTAGATTGGAATCTAAAACCTTCAGAAAACATTGGAGTTCAAGTCCCACGAAGTTTGGTCACTAGACAGAGAATTGATGGTTCCATTCGTCTATCCTTTTCCGATTATACAACTATATCTCCACCTCCAGTTCCTGAATACTCAAAGCAAGATATTGAAGGATCAGAGGATGAAGCTATTTATATGGCATTCGAAAACGATTTTTCATGGGATTCTGAGGAAGATGAAAAGTTTAATTCAAGAAATTCTCAAAAATCCTTATGGGAAAGATATCAAAATGGTGATCCTACAGTTGCTCCACTAGGACATCCAAGCGGGAAATATGATTATCTTGTGGAATATTCTATGCGTGTGGATAACACCCCAATTATACCTACTGGATGGGGCGATGAAGATGATATCGATGATGAATGCACTACAATCTGTAAAGTTGAAACGTATTCTGGTGATAATGAGCTACCTGAGCCAGATAAAGAAGATGATCCTTTATCATTCTTCTTATATTTCAATAAGCTTAATAATGAACTAAGTTCATTCGCGGAAGTTGGTGGGAATGAAGAGGAAAAACAGGTACTAGCCCTAAACCCTAAACCTGAAACAATATAGATTTCGGCTGGGCCGACGGGCACACAGAGTGACGACCCTATAGAAAATCGTCGAGTTACCTAGAGTTGGTATTGACCTTATCGATTTCAATGTCTTTTAGAAATGTCTTTACTGAATTTGGTTTATCAAACTCGCTCGTTGATATATATCAGACCGTCTTTACTGAAGCATACTTTCCAGCTATAAATTTGTTTTTAGTATTTTCAGTTTCATACTAGTTATTGTATTTTTCTATTTGGATCTGGATAGTTGTTTCCTTATTTTCATTTTGATTTCTTTTAGTTATCTCCTTGTCTTTCAGTTGAACTTTTATTTATGGAATAAAATTTAATTTTTCTTATTTTTTCCTGTCATTACTTTCATACTTTTTTTTTTTTTTTTGAGAATACAAAATATGTTCAATTCCTTTCATCATGTAATGTGTTGTCGGGGTGTGTCGCCTTCTAAACATGAGGTTTGACAGCAACAAAGTCAATAAAAACTCTACTAAGATCAAGAGAATCAGAAAACTAAATATCATCTAGAATATACATTTGGAATATACATTCCAAGATGACGACAAAACACACCTCTATGGAGGAACCAAATATCTAATCCATGTACTCATCCATCTCAAAGGACTCACCTGGCTCAAAAGAAGACAAAAAAAGCAAAGAAACTCACCCCACCTCAGAAGGCATGCGCCTAGAGTACAAAAGAGTCCAGGCAACTTCATCCAATCAATCAAGTGACTCTTGTCTATTTGACTGCATTTATTAAACTAGAAAAGCCTCTGAAGTACTCATCCAAACAGTTGTCCACAGGCAAGTCCCAAGTTTCTTGATTATAAGACCACAAGACAACAACTGTCCAATCATGTATTTATTTATGTATTAGTATTGTATATTTTTCCTGTAGCACACAAAACCAAATGAATAAGAGGGCAAAAAGAGCATGTAAAGATATCTATAATATTCTACGCATCAAATTATGGTCAATAGAACTTGTTTGAATTTCTCTCTTGAAAATCTCTCTTCTTCTATTCCCTTTTCCACCATAGTCTCGCAGTTTTTATGAGTAGGATTCAAGCAGATAGATTTTGAATGCAGTAGTAAGTAATAGGTGTGACTAGAATCTATAACTTCTTCCAGAAACCTCGTCCAACTACTAAGCTATGGATCCCATTACCTTTTTTTGATAAAAAAATGAATTTAAAAACAATACTGATCTGCATTTTTTTTTTTTTTTTTGTTATTATTGATCAAATTTTTATCAAATTACTTGCTCAATATGATTGTTCTAAAATTTTTTAGTTAAATTTAGTAAGAATTATCTGTATAGACAAATAGTTATCCATTAAGAATGCATCAACTTGTTTTGGATTCTTTTTGTGCATCATATAAATAACTTTAATTCGTTTGTTTAACTGGTAACTGGTTCTCAGACTGATATAAGAACTAAACTGTGATATCCTCTTGGAAATCATGCGAATGGGATGTCAATATCTATCATAGTACTCGCTGAGTTTATTTCTTCATTTAAACCTCTTCACCTGAATAAAAGTAAAATTGAAATAAAATCATAAAAAGCTAAATAAGCTAGTCTATATATGGCATGTTCACAGCATGCAAAGTAAAGCCTGAGAAAAAATATATACAGAAGTCAAGTTTGATAAAAGATGAATTCCAACCAAATTCACCAGAGTACTTGTCAAAAAATACTAGAACGATTCTGAAGCACCAGAAAATCCTGCCTAATAGAATAAAAGAAAATAAACTGCTCCTTCGCGTTTTGAATATTACCTGTACCAATAAGTATGATGGTGAACTTGAAATATGGATATGGAGGTCTAATGACTGATGCAACAATGAGGCCAATCAAGGAACCTGATATTGTACCCATGATAATGTTGACCGGAATAAACCACCTGAACAAACAACTTTCTTAGTATAAATTTCCCCATTGCTAGGCACATTTCTTAGATAGATAATGATACTAAATCAAACAAGGAAACACAAGTAAATCCATAAGTCCATAAGAAAATGGAACACCAACAGGATAATATGTCAAAAGAAATACTATAAAAAATGCACTGCTAACGTAAGTATCAAGCATGATGCACATTAATCGGAAATAGCTCAAAAGAAACTAAGGTACGCCAGAAATTCTTCTCTCCAAATTCACCCTCCACATACTTAAACCACAAGGAAATATGTACATGCACAAGTCATGTTGCTGGATAGAAATGATTTTTTACTTTTTTTACAAATATTTCAAAATTATGTAAGAAATTGTTCTGCTTTTCAACTATGGCTGAATAAAATTTAGCAACTGATGACTTCCATGGTACCACCACCTGGTTGAGTAGCTCTTGGTTCATAAGATTCAAATTGTTAGAAAGTTTCATTTGAAGGGATTAATAGCCAACATGGAGAGTTCTCATATAAGGGAGAGTTTTAAGACCATGAATGTATTAGATTTAGCCCACACTGAAAACTTTAAAATTGATTTTGTATAGAAATACTAAGTAGCTGATTCTGACTCATAGGCTTAAGCTCTTGGATTGAAAATACATTTGACTGATGGTGTATTTGACCCCTTTGGTTACTCACTCCCAAACACAAACCGGTGCAAACCATGAAAAAGGAATCACAAAACACAATTTAATGGGAAAGAAGGAAATTCTCACCAATCTAGCAATTTCTGCAATGTAATTGCTCGCCCAAGTTGAGAAAAAATTAGACAGGGAAGTAGGAGTGAGAAGACGAGCTGCAGCATCATGTAAGTATATTTGTTAGCCTTATTTGAATTGAATCTAGCAAATCTGCGAAGTGCTGAATATCTCAAATACATGCAAATCTTAGGTTGACAATATAACCCCATTGATACTTATCGTATTCAGTAACAATTAGATCTTGTAAGACTTGCTAAATTTCTTGCAAAACTTAAAGTTGTGATGAGAGATCCTGATGCTTAGTTTGGCATAATGATGATAAAAGCTTCCTAGGAACCTGGCTGCCTTGGAACCTAAACAATTCTCAATCTACAAGTTTTGCCAAGTAAGAAAAACTTAATTGTAAGCATTAGCGTGCGGATAAATGACAAAATTCGGGCCAAATGGAGGATTTTCATAGTAAACATGGTTGCAGAATCATATAATCCATATAGTTGTTGAGCCTGAAGGGATTTAGAGTACTATCATGTAATCACAAAAAATCAAATAAAAACTTTACTAATTCAGATGTTCTACATGCAAAGAAGACACATTATTATATCTTGCTACAAGAGGTTTCTTCGACAAAAATCATATTCCAGCTAAAAAAGATTAGGAATTATATTAACATATTAAAAGAGAATCATGTAGTTTAAGAAAGCCCACAGAAAACAGCTGATATTTAGCATGAAATATAATATCATGAGCAAATCCTGTAAATATATAACATGATTCCATCAAATATGCAATAAATCATATCAAATTCTAAACGACTACATATCTCTTAACTACACAAGATAATGTAATATCTAAGAAAATAGGGTCCTCTCTTAGTTGGATTTCCTCCTACAATGTCCTGCTTCCAATCATCATCGTATAATCACCTTAGATTGAATAATAAACATATTAAAAACCATTACTTTGCTTTTCCTACTTCAAAATCACTAGAAAATCAGAATATTCCAAACGTCCCTCGCAAATTTTACAGGTTATATATTAGACGAAAATGACAGATGATAAAAGCTACTTGCTCTACAAATCAGACTTCCTCGTTTTAAAACAATAGAGAATTTTTATAGCACACGCATGACAAAATGGTAGATCAATACAGGGAAATCAAGAAAAAATAAGCTTTATTGATAAGCATAAGTACAAGTCCTTTTTTAAGCGTGAGAATATGTTGTTAACTCTCGCATTTCTCAATAAGTTAAGCACCTAACATTAATGTCCTGAATAGGAATCAAAAGAATAACCACAGCCATAAAGGTCAAATTGCTTCCGCTTACCCCATTGAGAATCTTTCGGCTATTTGCAGGAAGAATATTTACATATTTGGAGGCCATGAGAAAACCCATGGAGCACATCGTGAAAACCTTCGCAATAGGCAGCACTGCAAACTTTATCGTGTTGAAAATAGATTCTCCTCGGGCAGCTTGACCATCTAATAAGATGGCAAGCAGCGACCTTTCCATTATCCTTCCTTCAAAAAACCCCAATATCAAGAGACTGTGACTAGATTCTCAGCAACGGTGAACTAACCTTCAGCTATGCTTCTCAAGCTCAAAAATCAACTTTATATTACTAATAAAATCACCAAAAAGAGAAAAGATCAGAATATTAAGCAAATGAAACGATAACAGATTTCTATTATTCAAATGAAACGCAGCATAAACTTCATATTTAATCCCAAATCAACAGCCGTAAGATATCAGAAATAAAATGTAAAACAATAATCATTCCAAAGGAAAATAATGAAATTTTTTTTCTGCGTAAATTCAACTGCGTCAACCCGAAGCACCGCACTATATAACACACCAAGAACTTAATACGCAGCTCATAGATACCATTTAGCGCTTGCATTACCTCTTACAAAATCAAAATAACAGCAGCACGCACGCAAAATCCCTTAATTTCGAAATCCTCTTCAAAAACCGAAAACAGAATTGTTTCCTTCAAGAAGCACTTACTTGCCTTCAGTCTGAGCTCATGAGCAGTTTCCAGTGCAACGCACTAACTTGCCAAGAAGCTTCTGCCTTGCCGAGAAACCCTAGAAAATCCAAAAAAGGGACGTCGAGGGATTTGAAAAAGCATGCGAAGTTTCCAGTGCAACGCCGCAGTCGTCCTTCTCCTGGCCCCACGACGCGACATCGGGGGAATTGCCGCAAGCTCTGTATGGAAGGAAAAATTATTCGGTCCCACCACCGCATGTTCTCTGCATGCGGTAGCAAATGAAAAATAAACACGTGTAATGGTGGGCCCTCAGTGAAGAGAAATAAGCAGAATGCGTGACCCGACCCGAACTCCGCCCAATAACCGAAAAAAGCGTATATTTGTGCTTATGGAATCCCGCCAAATCTAGCATTTGGACATTTTCGATCCCGCCAAATAGGAATAAGTGGCTTATGGATGTAGATTTTTTTTATTTCGTCGTCTGTTAGTAGTCGACGAGTAGGGCAGAGCTCGTCTGTTAGCATTCGACGAGTAGGGCGGAGTTCTTGTTCTGTGCCGAGCCCACATTAAATGGATTTCTCTTTTGACCAAGAAATATTGATGAAATCTGAGAATGATGGTGATCAGCTTGGATCATTAGCTGCGTCCGGAAGTATTCCTCAGGTAGAGTTCTTTCTTATGTTGTGTGTGCTGCGATTAATGGCTTCCAAATGATAGTATTGCTGGGCTCGATGTTTAAGTTGTCGTAATGGTATTATATTTCTGGTATTATTGTGGTTGATATTGTTTTTTCTGATATTATTTGGGTCTCATTTAGGTTTTATCATGGGTTTATTATAGTGTTATTGTGGTTGTATTATGGTAGTATTGATGAATTATAGGCGTTCAAGAGAGAGTGTGTTATTATGGTATTATTACTGTAGTATTATGGTTGTATTACATATGATGGTGTTATTTATTGTTGTATCTAATTAGTGTTTTAAACAGTGTTATGTTAAAGTGCTATTTTGGTGTTATCATTGTTTTATTATGCTAGTATTTTTGTATTTTTATTTTTGAAGTATACTTTTGTGTTATTATGGTATTATTGTTGTGGTATTATGATTGTATTATGTATTATGTTGTTATTGATTTATCATTTCGTACCAGCATGATTGTATTTACTAATTGGTTACGTTGAAGTGTTCTTTTGTTAATTTAATGGTGGAATGTTTGAAAGTTGCAGCTCCCCGAGCCTTTGACTATGTGCATTGATCCAAATGCGGATAGTTTGCTTCGCGCGGTGGTTCATAATGAGAAGGAAGCCTACGAAAATTATTGTGCATATGCACATCATATTGGATTCACTGTGCGAAAGGACCATGTTGGTTTTTGGCCTAATTCAAAAATGATTAAGACAAAGGATTTCATTTGTGGCAAGGCTGGTTTCAAGAAAGAATTGAATAACAATGTGTCGGTGAAGTACAGAAGAGGGGACACGAGGACTGGTTGTCCAGCCATGATCCGATATGTCGTCGATGTAGAAGGTAACTGGTCAGTTAAAAAATTTATAGAAACTCATAACCATCCTTTGGCGGCAGACGGTGACAAACATCTATTGCGTTCTAGCAGAAAAATGGGTGATGTCAGTGCACAAGTGCTCAGATCGATGACAAAATCAGGGATCAGAACAAGCGATGCCTTTAGTTT